GAGTTAGGCATTCGCGACAGCTTGGAGTGGGTAAGAAGATGGTCGAGTGGGTTCAGCATTAACTGGGCACTATCAATCCAATGTAAACGCTCTCATAAGGAAGTGACTGAGTGACGGCGCGCATGGATAGGTTCATACGTGGGTTGAATCTTTCCGCATTCTGCTGTGGCCTCAGTAAAATTCATTGAAGTTAATAAGGGATGAAATATTATTAGCAGACAGACGGCCAGAGAGAACGCTGAGAGCTACTTGAGAGATACGTCCAAACTCAACGCCGACTCCTCTGCCTGGGTCAACTGTGATCACGTTGTGTTGGTACATGTTGTTGACACTTCACCAATTCACTTCACTTCAGCACAGGACCTATGGTGGATTCTCCATTATTATGCAAGTCAAGTACGAGGTTTTGAGTAGTGCTTGAAACTGCAGGAGGATAGATTAGTCGAGGTGACCCTTTAAATCTATCCAAGGATTAATTTAAATGTTAGCAATAATTTGACTGAATCAGCAATCAAAAACTTCCCTACGCGTCTACATGTTTGGCTCTGACGACCGAATTGAGAATAACAAGATTAGATTAGTTATGACATGTTTTTCTTTCTACAGCGTATTTTTTGTTGGCAGACCTCAAGGGTAGACTTATGTCGCACACAGCACAATTACTGCAATCCGCCCGAAGTATAGAACCTGTACCATAAGTTCTTGCTATATTAATATATTTTAAATACTTGCAAGTAGCATCTATTATCATGTTAATTAACTGATAATCTCAGTAATTATGAGGCTATCAAGTTTGTGAGATGATGGTATTAATGTCGGTGCAATTTGAGTAGTTAACAGCTAGAGTTTTTCCCGAAATTCTCAAACACTAGCTCTACTCTTGTAGCATATTACGAATTTGATCTTATGCAAACATTCGTATTAGAATCAATATTTTTAACATCATATTTACCAGATGACCTCCAATTAATTTTCAAAAATATTGCCACTTTTTTCAGATTCCACTGCGTTTCTTGGATCTTGTCTTTAGGAATAATCACTTTAAATAAAAATGTCTGCTGTCCATGTAGAAAAGTAAGATATTTGGGTTTTTTAAATTTAGAAATCTATGCATATCCCAATTAAGTAATTTAACTTTAAGATTTTCTTTATGTTTCCATAATGAGAATAATTTTTAGATTTTTGAAGTAACCATTTCGCTTTTTCATATAAATTTACCCACAAATTACTACTACAAGTAAAAGCGCTCACAATTCATTTGGCGACGTTCACCACAACACCATTACTCATATCTTATACATAATATTCCTCTGCCCTCCACATATACGGACTTCGAAGGCAGTCAATGTATTTTGACGGAATTCAATGTCGAGTAATGAAAATAAAAGAACACCATTTCAACATTCGGCATTCATGTTTGCGTTTCAAACAACGCTGTACATTGACTAAACACACAGAACATCTTTGCACCTTTAGGAAAACAAGTACCTTTCATCCGGATTCTTTAATGATAGGTTGCTTATCATCGAATATTGTCGCATTTTGGTGTTATCAAGTTAGAACTGTGGAAATATAAAGCAGATTTCAGTTGTGAGGATTGGCGTTCTTGAGAACTGAATTGCATTAATTTGGTACGAGAAACTGCCGACATACCACTAGTTTCGAAGTAGCCGTATTTTTGGCTGCATCTGATTCACGTGACTGATTATCGGGCATCGAGGCGAATTTGTTTCCTCCCGTCATGGCGCCGGAAAACATTGCAGATGGTGCTGGGTCTATCTTTGTAGGGGGCGATGGGGGTGCCAGTCGTGTTTCAGTTAAATTTGGCGGTTCATTTGGGAAACTGTGGATACTGGCAGGGTTGTTAGGAGGCCCATCTGCTCTAGGTAAACTGTAGGTTCCTCTCGGCACAAAGGCTGGCTGATGCAAAGAATTCACTCGACTGGAAGGTGAAATGAAACAAGGAGGACGAGTTGGAGGCAACAGATTGGACATGTCAGAAACGACCGAGGTGGTGACTGGAGGAAAAGCTGGCACCGACTGTTGATTAAGGGGTTGGCAATAGACCTGTTCGTGAGGCCCGGTAAAGGGTTTTGGAGACAGCAAACCTAAGACAATGTAGACAGTGAATCATATTGTGATATCTAGTATCAATATTTTTTAATACATCCCATTAATTTTTGGGAGAATCCTGGGCTAGATACCGCTAGGATCTAAGCACATACATAAATTTAAACATGAGTTTGTTCAACTTTTACATTGTTTTTAAGTCGAATGGTAGCATCTTAGACCTTACTGCCTGCCAATTTGCTTTAAACGCAATAAATATCTACATGGCCAGAAGATTGTACAAAAATCCTAGACTCCATCTGAAAATGTTCATCAGGCACTGCATCATATTTTACGTAAACGCTTACTAGTTCTGGTAACTTCATTCGTCTGCGTTGTTTGGTCTTGTATTTGCCTATCAGCGGTTTGCTGATCATTAAGTGCCGACCTTTTCTTGGAGTCCCCCGTTGAATCACTCGATTTTGACTTATGACACCTTGAGTCATGTCGAAGGCGTTTACTGGATTTTCGATGCTTATGACGGTGACTGTATCTCCGTGAGTGACACCCATGGTGTCCCCAAGCGTCAATCACTACAGGAGGTGGAGGCATATAGGCGGGTTGCAAAGGTGGCGGTGGTGGTGGTGGTGGTGGTGCAGGTTGATATGTTAAGGGAGGAGGTGGTGCGTGGTAGAAGAGTGAAGATAGCCCACAGTTTGCGTAGGGCTGAGAGGGTATTGGGTAGCCGGCTTGGTGTGATGTAAGTGGCCAGTGACTAAAAAGGGATTCACAACACTGTTCAGCTGAAAAGTGGGCAAAAGGCTGGCAATTTATCTCACATTAATTTGCATTTCGCATAGCATTTGCTTGCATTTAAAAGAGATTCGGATATTGAGATTTGTTATTTGGTCAACTACACGTATGACTCTCAACACACAAAAATTTACATAATAATCTAATAACCAAGGAGAAAAGCTTAGGAATAGCTTGTCTGTTCGTTAGCAAACACTGGTTTACTCACTCGTCTATTTAAAATAACAGCTGCAGGTAATGGGCTTAGTGGTCAGACTAGCAGGTTCTCTGGGAAGTTAAGTATTGCATATCCATTGAGAACTTCTGTTACAACACCTAATCACTGTTCTGCATAATTCTTGATTTTTACAAGCTTACGGTAACATTTGGGCTATTTAATTGTTATGATGGATATGTGCAAATATTCGATAAAAATGGCTTATCAGAGCAACTATAACTTCTTTAAGGCCTTAATTAACCGAATATTTGAAACACATAGAAAAAGACCACGGCAGAGTAAATATCAAGGCTGGTTCGAATTGATCCGTCACTTAACCTCGCTTTTTGTTGGCATCTGTTCCTAAATGCTCCGTAAACACGCTCTAAAGGAAACCATTATGGCTAGACGGTAAAATGAGCATTTGCCTGGTCGTGTTGCTTTCTCTCCACCACCATTATTTTCCGATTCACTGCTGTAGACCATCAACAGGATTGTAAATTAAACAATCGGTAAGCTTGAGGTGTTAGGTACGACTAAATGGGAAAACCCACGTCCTTTGAAGCTGCCTAACACACTAGCGCCACACGGTGGCACAGCATGACTAGAGGGAGAACATGCAGTCCTGTGGCCTTTTCAAACTTTCCTTTGTTATCAGGTTCTATGTACAGGAAAGATCACTAGAACTCCAAACTGATTTGTTCACTTCGACTTTTCCTTCACATGAAACTGATTCAAAACTCCGAAAAATGTTCTTTTTAAAGGTCCCTTCAGATGAAAAAATAAATGTATGAAGTAGGATACTCCGAACAAAACTTCCAACCAACAATAACTCCACCAAATCATTTACAGATAATAAAATAATTAAAGATCGCAAAAGAAGAGTCGTACCCGTGGTTGTAAGAGAAGTTACGGCTCGAGCTGTGCGTAAGACTGGTACCAGCGCAGTCACCTTCACGGCAACTGTGATGATGATGCGTTTTGCGTTTGTGGTGCCTTGGTCGCGACCCAGTGCGTTGGCTCCCAGAGGATGTCTGACTGTTTCTCGAGGAGCGTCTGGTCCTGTGAGCTGGCCTATGAGAATCAGACTTACCACTGCTATGACGAGACACGTGTCGCTTCTTGGGGCTCACGGTGGTGGTGGTGGTGGTGGTGGTGGCGGTGTCTGTGGCACTTGCTGTAGCTGCTGACGAAGTACCCAGGTCATTAACTGATCCAAGCTCGTCTTTTGATGTAGATCGTCTCTCGAGCTTTCGACAAATTTGAAAGAACATCAAGTTTGTAATATCCATGATAAATAAAAGAGTATACTGAATACAAATCTTCCTAATATTAATGGTTTGGACGAGTAATTATTTTGTGCAAATTCTGATAATTTAGTTACAGCAGGAAAGGTTTTAGTGCAAAGTCTTTGTTTGCTAGCAGCAGCACCCAAATAATTTACAATGAACCATGACCAATTATAAGGTGCTCCTACACAAACAGGCAATCATGTTATTACTTCGGATGTGTTTTTTTTATTCATGACTGACTGGCTCAACCTGGAAGTTTGAAATACAGTAAGTAAGGTATAAAATACCACCTTAACATACAAATCGCAGACAAATTCACATTGAAGACTTTAAAATTTCAGCATTATAATTTCTCAGTCCCATTTGTTCACAATGATGTCGCTTTTCCTATTGTTTACTAAGCATTCACTACAGCATAACAAAGGAGCTTGATTGCCCGAAGTAAAAGCACCTACAAAGTTACTAAGTAAAATCTAACCGTGCTTTCGAACATTTTGTGCTTTCCAATTCTTCACAGAGAGTTCTCAAATAAAATTACGCTTAAAAACACTGACTTTAATTTCGTCTACAATTCACGTTTCAAGTGTGTGCTTTTATTTGCATTGACTGACATTTCCTATACTTTAAGTAAGTATAAAAATTCGTAATGTTTTTAGGATCTGCCTTTATCGGTCTTATACGCAGCAGAGTAGTGACATTTAAATTTGTTTACAGTCTTTGACCAGATTTGGCACGTTTGGGTCGCTGTGCATTTTGTTCCAGCTATCTCAGCGAATTTCTACCATTATTTGATTTGTAGCATACTTTTGAAAGACGGAGTTCAATGAAAAATGATACCAAGACTTTTCCATTATTGCTGTAATTTGACAATTATGAGTTGAACTGCTTTAGAAAATAGTAAATAATGTCAACGAAATGTACATTTGCACACTCCAACAGTACAATACCTCACACTGAAGGACTTTACATCGTTCCATTAGAGCTTTCAATTCTGCTTCTATTTGTGTGGCATTGTTCACAGTGGTGGCATTTCTGCATTCTGGCTGAGTTAAGACTGCCGGTTGCGAATAGACATCATCGGATTTGCTAGAAGATAACAATATTTTACTGATTTTTAAGACTAGCTAACTGATGTTAAAGTTTAAAATAATCCATGACACGTGTATATTTTCTTTAATTCGACCTAGTAAGATAAAGTTTGTTTGTTTAAGGTTAACGACTGAACAAAGGAAAAGCTGTGAATTTAAATACTACATAAATGCTCAATTTCAACCTTTTAGTGACCATTCCATTTCCTCTAAGATTTATACAAATCGGGCGCTTGTAGAGATACGTCAGAAGTGATTTTTTTTTTCAGTCACAGACCCATCCAACAGAAGTATATTTTAATCTATAAAATTCCGTTTTCGCCTTTGATAGCATGGTTAAATCAAAACATAAACTATTAGTTAGTTGAATTTTTTAACAAGACAAAATTTCTAAGTCAAAGAGTCAGACCCTGTATCAATTTAAGGGTAGAACGTACAGCAGAATCCGAAAAGATGATGAAATAACCATAATACATATAGAAAACTTTTTAAACCAAATCCTTTCTTAGCAAGGAAAAACAGTTGCAACTAATTTGCTTAAATTGTAAGGTTTGACGGTGCCGTGCAGATTAACATTTCGTTTCATTGCATAAACGTCGAGAGCTTAGTTCAGCTGTAGGTTTTAACTCATTATCAAATCGAGAGTCGAACAACAGGTCCACTACCTTTTCAAGAGACAGGACCTTCGTTTGGGTGCTAATTCTGATGTTGATGACTTTTGATGCTTTGAGGGTGCTCCTGCGGTTATTTTCTCCGTTTCGTTTACACTGGCACCTCTGTGACACATTTCGTCTAAGAGGCAATCTCTCGTGTCATATTCGTAAACTTGATGGCGAATTCCGCTGGTAGCTTTACTTCTATCAAGCATTGCAGGAAGTTCCGTGCTAAGAGTAGACTTTCGCCTCAGCAGTTCCCTTTCCACACCCTCCGCAAACAGATTTCCTTCACCTTCGAATTCTACCCTTTTCTCTTCTTTATCGGAATTCGAGTCATGAGTGCTAGAGTAAAAAGATTCACTTAGCAAAGCAAATCATGAACAGAATGTTGTGCATCTGCCTTGCTGCATAGCATTGGACACTGAAATTATGCAACTGGAGGGATGGCAAACATATCAGGATGCTTCTTGGACTAATGTAGCAATCGCCCAAACTATCATACACTGGCAGGTTTCTGTGCTAAATGCATCTGAACTAGGGTCAGTATGTCAGTTTTAAAAACAATTTAAATTGGTCATTTTTTTAGAATACCTTTATTGAATTTGCTAATTAGACAATAAGAACTTACAAAATCCACGGAAAATTAGTTAGGGATTTTGGATAACTAATTTTAATGATTTAGAGCGTCAGGTTTGGATAAGGCCCTAATTTAACTTATTGGAATAAATCAACCAATCCTTGTTCAAGAAGGAACTCACATGTTGGAGGCCCAGGTTACCGTGTTTCTCATACCAAGAAACAAATGAGGAGCACCGATTGTCTTACCCTTTAATAAGGTAGAGAGCTAGAAGGGAAACAGCATTAAAGGCAAAAAATAATAACAAATCAAAAGATTTTGTACTTCTTCTGACGACACTTGATTAAACAGAGAACCTTGTGTGCTCCTGAATTCATGATCAACGTCACTAAAATGAAGGAAATAACTCTATAAGTACAAATTTGGTTAAAATGGGATCTAAGATTCCTGCGTGGAGACAAACTCACAAATACTGAATTTAGAATGCTAATCAAGTTAAGTAAAAGATCGGCGAAATATTAGTTTAACATGCATACTATTTAAAAGAGTGCCAAACTCTTCAAGTGGATAATATGGCTTTGATGAACTTTGAGTATAGTGAGCCACCTACTTTTAGATCACATAGTGGCAGCCTCATTAATGTGTCAAGTACAATAATTGAAAACTCGGGTTTAGATAAGATAAGTTACTACGCCGTCTAAGTATTTGTGTTCTGCAGGTGAATGCTATCATTCAAGACTCGAAATACTTGAGTCGAAATTATGTACTTTCTGGACGGCAAAAGGCTAAAAACTGAGATTAAAGCGACCGCAAACCATACCTGGGTTGCTAGGTGTTATTTAATTACGTCTTAAAAGATTAACTCTTTCAAATGCAAACTTTGTTGCTATGTGCCTTTGGTAAGAAAAGTCAAAACTTTCATCAATCTCCATTTTTAGAGACGGTTAAAAATTTCCGATTATTGATACCACGGAGGATGTGGACGTGAACAGTAAAATCTTTAAATTTCATGGATAATTTAAGCTAATACTGTATTGCACTAAACTATTTTGTCTTGCGATTTTTACAGGAATTATCATACAATCCGGCGCGTCGTCAAATGTTGACGAAGGAAGAATCCCACTGTTATTGGATGATTTTCAAAGTTATGCGAACAAAACCTCTCCCCAACTATTTAGTCATCGATCGAACCTGCGACCTACCCTTTGGTTTTGGTTCCATTTGTTTTTAGATTCTCTGGTGGGACATTGCTTGGGAGGTTTCGAGCGACTTGGTTGGCAGTGAATTGGAAAGAATCAATAGACGTAATGATCCTATTTTCCTTTGTCGCAGGAGGAGAGTAGTTAATCTCAAATAGGTGCTGAGCGGGCTACAACAACCACCAAAAAGCTAGTGCGCAAATGCGCGTATGATGTAGCAAAACGAGTAATATTTTCTACCCTTGTTTATTTTTGAGAATTGCCAGAATATGATAAAATAGATGCATTGCAAATCACAAGTGTCAACCTTGTAAAATGGCTAGGTAATTTAGACAGGTTTTTGAATTTTTCTGCAGAGCAGATTCCATAGAAATGTTCTAGATCCTGCGCGGATGTTTTGATGACAACCAGGTAACCCTGGCATTAGATAGAATGGAGTGGAGAAATCAGAATTAATCAGACACCCAAATAAACAATATAGTTAAGTGGCAGATAAAAATAACTAAGTGACACATCTTCAGTGGTTCTGTCGTTGCTTCCAGTCAAATATTTATCAAACATTAATCCAGTCTATTTCGATCATTCTGGGAGTTCTCTGATTTTAAATGCAAAAGATCAATTATGTTAAAACAACCCTGTATCCTTATTTTGTAAATCACATATTTTGGCTTCGTCAGTCCCTTTTTTTAAGATAACATATCCTCGGTCGCTGTACGTACGGATTCCATGTGTAGTCTATTTACTTTGAATGCACATCGCATGGGTAAGTCAATGAAAACAAAAATCAGTGAGTCTTAGAGAATCCTTTCGTCAAACTAATGACAGCAGATATATTACCAAACGCACCTACCCTATTGTGTTGCAAACCTTGATCAGCCGTCCAGCATACGTAAATATCGTTGTTTTCACCACTCGCAATTCGTCCAGCCGGGTGGCCTTCGGGTAAGAGTGTTCCAGAATCTATCGAAGTGTGGTCGTCCGCGTCAACATCTTTTTCCGCTTCTGCAATAACAGGGCTCAGTGAACGTCCAGGAACGACGTTTTGAGGTCTCTGGTTCGTTTGCATGGCTACTCTCGTGGCGATATGGCCAACCAATTGTTGATAAGTGGTTGTACCTTTTATGACATTTAGTTTAACTGGTTCGTCAAAATGATTGACGCCGGGCACAAGATTGACATCTAGTACAGGCGTTTCAATTGTAGTGGCCATTAGTTCACCAGCACTTGGTCCGGATAAATTCAACTTTGGAACCTGAGGTGATTTTCGCAGATAGAGTCGGCTTTCTTCCTTTTTTTTACCATGTAAATATGAGGGGGAAATGATGGTTGCACTACTGAATTGTGATCGATCTGCCGAAGGACCCTCATTCAAAATGACGTAATTTTTTCCAAGATCTGCAAACAAAGGCTGGCCGGCAACGACTGGCTGCTTTTCTGCATTGGAAGAAATCGAGTCTGTGTCGGTCAGCCGATTCTGTCTCGGCGGTGTTGCAGAAAACTTTGTCATCTCAAGTTCTCCCTGATTTCGATCGATTTTATTGTCTTCAACATTTTCATAATCATAATTTGGGATTAAACTATGTATCATACTATGTTCTTTTATTGATAAATCTTTGCTATCTTGATAATTATTTGGTCCACCAATGGGCATGGTTAAGGAAGAAGAATTTACCTCAGTTTTTGTGGCTTTGCAGGAATTTTCTTTTAGTGCGGGAGACAGCGGTTGCGTTCCTAAGTCTTTCTGTAAGAATGGAGTAATCTCGTCACAAGAATCATAATTTCCGAGCCTATTATGTTTATGAGTTTGATGAGATGAGCAAAAATTCAAATAATTAGACCCGGCTTTAATATTCAGGTTTTCATTTAATTCCTGTACGTCTATTTGAAAGGGATTCGTATCATAACCAACGTTTGGGCGCCTTTGCATTGCTGGGAAGATTGACAGATTATTTTCAGTGGAAAATACTTCGCCTTTGAAATCCCGACTAAAATTAGATGGCTCTAAAAGCATGGAAACACTTTTGAGGTAACGAAAGGTCACCATATTGTTTGCTGGGTGATTGTGTTTATTGAAGGGACACTTTGTGGATAGTTGACTATATTTGTATGTCTTACATTTCACTGAATCCGATTCCTGGAGAAATTTTTGTTTAAATGACAAGGTGGAATCGAAGACAGCATTATCATATGTAGAGATTTTGGGTACACTGACCTCAGCATGAATGCCGCGGATTAGCTTTTGTTTTGCAAAACTCACTGGCAAATTTCCAACAACAAATCCGCAAATGTAAATCAGCGAGTACGTAAGTTTGCAAGCGTTTGAATCGACGCGCGAACCAGGAAGCCAATGGTTAGGTCTGAGAGGCACAAGGTAAATGAATTCGGGTTTAAAGGACAGTGGTCCCTTGTAATTTCGTACATGGGATTTGTTGGCTAAAAAAACCTTTTGCTTAATTGTAAAAGCACCATGCTTAAAAGAAAGGAAGCTTTTATTCGTAGTTATAGTGGCGTTGCTAAGTTTTTTGTAATTTTCAAACATTCTCTTGTTATCACCAAATCCCGAAATGTCCTTAAGTGATAATGTTTGTTTGAAGGGAGCGATTGACGCACAGTCAATGTTGTGACTGGGACTGAATCGAGGAGCAGAAGCTGCACTATTCTGAAGTTTATTTTCTGGTGTAGAGACGAAACTTGATAATTGGCTAACGCCAGGATAAACATTTAAACAATGATCAATGCGCTTTGAGCAGGTTTCAAGTTTCTCCAGTTGTCTTATCTCATACTTCTCGTCTTCATGTGAGTGAATCAATATTTGTTGAGAGCCGAAATTGGATAGGCAGGGTTGACCAATATTTTCTCCAGTTTTGCACGGAATGTGTGGCATTAAGAAGTTTGCAAGCGTGCCCCTGTCTGTTGGAGCACATTGTTTGCTTACATAGCTCTGAGTTATTTCAACTGAAGGTTTTTTTGAAAACACTGGTTTAGAAATTATTTGCATTTGACATGTTTCTACCGCACAAGGCTCATCCAACTGTGGTTCCAGCAGTCGTAGAAATGGTCGTGCAACGTAAAGATGCTCCATTTGTGACTGTATTCAAGTGGGTCAAGTTGAATAATCGAAACATATATGAGTCCTTTCAAAATAGTGGCACTGAATGAAAAAAGGGCAAATAAGCTAGATGTAGAATTTAAAGCAGAAATATTTGAAATAGCAATATTCTCGTCTCAGTTAGAAATGTCACAAGATCAGAAGTCCACCACTAGGCCATATTGAAAGCCTGGATATTTTGCTCATAAAATTGTACATTTTAGGCTTGCAATGCCCAATCGTACCATGCATTTCATGCAACTCACAATGTGTCACTTAATATGGCTCTAGTTTTACTAAAATATGGAAACTGCATGTAGCTCACTGGCATAACCTAGGTCAAAACACATTGGTTACCCCTGGCATGATAAAGTGAATTTGTTGAAATTAAGTCTATGTAATGCTGCCTCAATGTGCAAACATGCAGAATTAACGTTTGTCACTTGCTAAAATGTATAAAGTAAGTTTGATTTTATCCTAGTAAGGTAGAGCGTCCTTTCGAGGTTTGCGTTATGAAGCTCCAGATTTAGTGAAATTAAGAGGCATGGCAGCAGCAGAATTAAGTCAGTGTACAAGAAATGGACCAACAAACAGCAATCTTTAGAAAAAAATTTGCAATACAAAATCCAAGAGAATCGCTAAACATCAAATTTTTATTCGAAATGCCATATAAATTTCGCAAGAGAGAGGTAAGAGAAACGTTAAGGCTCATTCTTAATTGATTTTTTTTTAAATTTTGCCTACACAAAATGACTAATTTTGCGAAAAAAAACATTGCAGAATCTTCAGAAATCAAAGACAGATTAAAGTTTATGAGCAAATATTAACAATGGGCATACTTTCGAAAGCTTAAAGGGTAGAAACAATATGTGGAAGCAATATATTACATTTTTCGAAAACAGGGTGCTCATGCGCACCGTATTACTTCCTTCTAACCTATCTTATAAAAGCAATTGTAAACAATCCTTCGTACCTAGATGGACGATAAAACATTTTCATTGACATGATCGAATAAAAAATTGTGGCAATGAAAAAAATTCCCTACAAAAAATTATAGAAGCATTAAAACGATTATGTCGAACTAAATACACTGTAAAATTACGCTTATCCGTTTAACATGTAAAATTATGCATTTGTTTGATTGTTCCATCACATTATGA